GGTCATAGGTATTGACTTCTTCTCCCAATGTAAATTTACTATTTTACTATTTAAAATTATTATAATAAATAATGCAATCGCAATATCGCTTGCTTGAACTTTTTTAATAATTGTGTGAGAAATCAGAACGGCTGCAGCGGCAGAGATGCATATGTTTGGAATCGAACTAGTTTGAAAAGTTGGTACCTAAAAAGAGCGTAATTACACCGCCGGATTGGTATACGCTGATTATAAACTTATGTACATATATGTATATGTAAATGATCAGCGTGACGAGCTGAGTTGATTTAGCTCGAACTAGTCCCTCAGGTGTTTCCGATATCACACTTAAATTTTGAACACCTTCTTTTCTCTTCAACAGTTGTCATATAAACTAAAAGAGCAAAATAAAGTACTTGTATTGAACACTTTGTTATTTGACGAGATATATCCACAGAATTTGGCATAGAATATTACCCAAGACACCGCTACAATCCCCGCAACAGTTTTTAAAATCGAATCGATATATATTACATATTGTTCGTGTATAGAAAACTCAATATTTGAAAAGATAAACTCACCGGTCAGAAACTTTTTTTCTGTGAAAAGTATTCTAGCTTCGGTGTAACCGAAGTTAATGTTTTTTCTTGTTTTAAAAAAATTATGATTTTCCCTTTATTGGGCAGACCAATATGTGCTTGTGCTCAAAATGAACGCCCCGTTGGGGCGGAATTACACATTGCTTGAGTCTAATCCGCCCGCATGCATAATGCAATTGTCAAATGTAGCGCGAAATCATGGACGAGTGGCGCGCACCGAGCCCTTTAGTGTTGCTCATTTACAGCGTCGGGGGAGATTTATGTGTCAATACTTAATTTACTTTTGTCCGCCAGCGCACCGCTCTGGCGGCCGCGCCTCTCCTCTCGTATTGTAAATGCAGCGTAAAGCGTCAACAAGCTGCTGCATTTCGCATTTGTGTTGCCACAAGCGTGCTGCAGAAGCTATTTTTATGCACGAATATTTCCCAAATTAAAAATGTTCAAATTAAAATGAAATATGTGTGCATCGGTAATTCAAAAGCACATGCCTCTATACAAACAAACATACATATGTATATGTGTATGTGGAAGGGGAAAATTGTTGGAAAATCAAATTTCAAATGCTAGCGGGCGCACTTCTGCCAATGCCATCACCAATAACAAAATCTCTAATATGAGCACCATCAGCAACAATAAACCTTTAATGAATGCCACAAACGCACAGCAAGTGCATGTGCATACACAGATACTCTTTCAATTGCATTCTCTGATCTATGCTCACTCGGATGCGAGTCCATGTATGTGTGTTGTGAGCACTCATGTTTCCCAGTAATTTGGCGCTTGAAATTTCAAATTCCAAACCCGATTTCAATTTCGTTTTGTTGTTCGAAATGCAAAATCTGAGCTGCTGGGCCAACTGCCTATTTGGAGTTTATGCAGCTGTTAGTTCGAGTGCGCAATAAAGTGACTGTGGCAATTTTTTGGCGAATACACATATTCCACGCTGCCTGCAACATATAAACGCACTTTGCACGCACCAACGATTGCTGCTGCGGCTTTGGTGATTATGGAGGCGTGCGTGTAGTCAACTAGTCAAAGCGCAGCAAATACACATGCGTCCACTGTATTGCAGCAGCTGCCTATATTACTTTGGTTTTGCTATTGTTTGTGTATATATGAATCTCACGTCAACGATCTCAGCAGCACAATTTGCAATTGCTTCAGATTCAATGGTAATTGCGCGCTCCAATGATGCCGGTGGCGTCGCAACGTTGCAGCATGCGAATTCTTCATCAATAGCAATAACAATATGGGGATAGATATCAGTAGTTTCAATGGAATAAAACGTTGTCAACATCAGCACCAGTTTTTATATGGACCAAAGAAAGTATACTTGTATTGTACATTAAGCCTATAAAACTAGCGATTCGTCTTCTCCACGAGTTCTTCGAACGCAAGCTTTTACTTACAAAAAAATGGTAAAGGTTTCCACCTTTCACCAGGCAAAAGTCTTCGGAGTTCTTTCGTATTAAAGTTATGTTTGATTATTATGAAGCTCATAGCTGGAATTCATATCAATTTTATTATTATTTTCCATACGCGTACATACCTATACGCTTCTTTTTAATTGTTTCCAAAAACGCAATATTATTAATTCCTCATATTTATTTGGTTTTCAACATACACAACACCACTGCAACGTCGCAACACCGCCTCTGGCTAACCAATGTAAATCGGCGAGTAATTTCCACGGCTACGACTTCCTTCAGCTGGTGTACTTCGAGTACATAACCTATGCATTGCATTTTCTATTCATTGCATTTACGTCAATGCCGATGCCTGACTGCTGTTGCTGCTGCTGTCATTTATTGTTAGTGCAGTGTGCACACGCTCGGTTGCACTTGCAACGCTTCTGCGTTGTTACGCATGTGTATGCATTCCACACAAACACACACATGGAAAGTATATCTGGGCGTAAAAACGTACAAGGAGCACTTACTCCGATGCGCTTTTGGTCCCAAGAAGAAAGTGCAATAGCCCAGTATATGATTTCCACCAAATAGATCGAAAATCAAAGTTATTCTTTTCTAATTGTAACCACCAGTCTAGACTTAAAAAATATTTACAAATCTATCACCTTCGGAAGCTACTTAGAACATGTGTTACACCAGAAGAAATAAGTTCCCATTTTAGTCAACCTTAGTCATCCTTGTTTTAGTCCCACTTAGTCCCACTGGGTATATTTGCACTCATTTTGTCAAAATATATGTAAAAATATGAGTTCACAGTCATATGTGTAAGTAGCGAGGGAGTTGCACAGTTACGTTAAATTTGCGAATCGTTGTAATGTCAACGAAGAACAACAATAACCGTGGCATATACAAGAGTACATCCGTACAACCGCAAACCGCACCCTCTCGCTTACCTTTATTTACATTGTAGTATACAAATTTATTACATGTTTGTATTTACAGACATATGCTAGTGTGTATCCCTACTTGGCTAATTTATCCTCGACAACTGTTCTGAATCCGCGGAGTGCAAGGTGTGATTTACTAATGCTATTGCTGAGTCGCAGATTTGCAACATTTTGTTGCAGCTGCACGTTCGCGAACTACTAAAGTAACATAGAGAAGGGTGGGAGGTAATTGGAATTGCAAAAATCTGTTTACTGTTTTTATTTATTAAATCAACTGCTGCTTGCTGCTGCCACCGTTTGCCGTTTCATTTATGCATGATCCCTTTTGTTCCATTTTGCGCACTGTTGCATTGAGTACGGTTACTGCTTTTGCGAAAGGTCATTAACGCCACAGTTGCCGGCCTGTTTGCGCTACCAAATAATACGATAGTATAATAAAAGTGACCGAATATTTGTTGTAATTCATTAAAACAAGAATAATGGTAAATATAAATGGGGAGGAAATTGAGATGGCATTGTTAGCCGCTCTGTTGCAACTCCCGGAAGTGCGAGCATCAAACAACTGCCATACAATCAACGCAACAACAAATCTCAACAACTCTCTGGGCGATTATGATTTCCCTAGAATCGTCACTGAATTGGAAATTTCAAATGGCATCAGCAATTCAATGCCAACCATCAGCCATTTAGTGAACCGCTCAATTATTATTGTGCATCTGTATTCGTGTATACTTGTACATAGATATTTACAATTCTTTTGTGCATTCGCACTAGATCCATTTCAACTGCCTACTTTGTTCGCAATTGTCAACTGGTAGTTGTCCGGTTTTAGTGGTCATGATCGCAGAGTTCTACCGTTTAGCGGGGATTGGCAGCCAACAGCACTGTACGCATTAAAAATCCATTAACATTGCCAGTCAACAAAATAAAAGACAATAGGCTTTAAAGTTCCCCTGACCTAATTTCGGCGTCGCTCGTGAAAGATTTGTGTGAGCGATTCAAGTTGTAATCATCAGTTTGTAAATAAGAGTTAAATCCGGGTTTAATTTCAATATAGAACAACTTCATAAACTATGAAGCATGTCGTCATAATCTTAACTAAGCCAATAGTCTGAGTCTTTGAAATGAGAATTTTTTTAACTGCTATCCAAGAGAGAGAATAAACTTCGACTTTTGATTTTCTTTTCGTTTTTGTTTTATCTTATTTTGTACTATATGTGATATTTTTTCTTATTACATATTATTATTTGAATATATTCAACTCTAGGAAAGCAGGTATCAGTTCGCTACACCTTACTGACAAGATGACCTTTTTCATGCTGACCTCACTCAAATATATGCCTATTAACACGTTGCAAGTCTCTTGTATTTGTATAGAATGAATGTCGTTGATATTCCGCGGCTTATTGCTCTTTTATCTGAAAGATTTTGTGACTCTATCGAATTCTAGCATCCACAAATAAATTATGACCCTGCTGAGTTAAAATGAATTTTATTACAGGTCATTGAACTTGCCGTGAGCTTCACTCAGGTAGTGAGATTTGACTTAAATATTTACACTCTTAGAAAATACGAGTTTTAATAACGTTAAACCCAAGTTATAGGTTAAACTTCGTGTTGGTTACTGAAGGTTGCAAACTGTTCTGATTATATAAGTTATTGAGATGCAATAAAATTATAGCAACAAATTTTACACTGTGTATATTTTTATTTAGTAAAGCCAGTGTTTGAAGTTGCCTCTAGAATAGAGTTATTCATGAGGAAAAATTTTGCATCATCATATGTGTTAAACTCTTATACAAATATAAGAATAAAGATACAAATACATACAAACTTTTAGATATACATATGTACATATATACTCGTACATGTCGAGTTTGAAATATTGACGGAAGTTATGAAAGAGTATTATCACACATACTGTATATCTAAAGTTTGATTTTTTTAAACATATACATATGTACAAATGTAGAACGTATTTTGTATCATATCGTTTATATAAGGTTTAATAATAAATGGAGTTCATAGTTAATAATCCTTAATCCTCCATCTGTTTATTTCAGATAGCGCAACATACGTAGGCAACATACTGAAGATTAAGTCGGTGAAGAAGGAAGATCGCGGCACTTACTATTGCGTTGCCGACAATGGTGTAAGCAAGGGTGACCGTCGCAACATCAATGTGGAGGTCGAATTCGCACCTGTCATCACTGTGCCACGGCCACGCTTGGGACAAGCTCTCCAATATGACATGGATTTGGAATGTCACATCGAAGCTTATCCACCGCCGGCCATTGTCTGGCTAAAGGATGATATTCAACTCTCGAACAACCAGCACTACAGCATCTCTCACTTTGCCACCGCCGACGAGTACTCCGACTCCACATTGCGTGTTATCACCATCGAGAAACGTCAATATGGCGACTATGTTTGCAAGGCCGTAAACAAACTGGGACAGGCCGAAGCGCGCGTCAATCTCTTCGAAACGGTGATCCCAGTGTGCCCACCAGCTTGCGGGCAGGCATATTATGGCGGGGCTGAACATTTGGCGACTACCACATTTGTATTTTTGACCATGGTCGGAGCGGCGCTCTTTGCAAGATAAACAAAAAATTTAGAATTTGTTTAATCACACCCAAATACGTATGCACATACCAAGTGGGTGCATTCGAAAAGCAGGACGCATCTTACAAAAAAAAAACGATAAGCGATTAAAGACGAGTAGCAAGCTGGCTATGCCGCAAATAAAAAACTATCGAAATACAAGCATACACACATTATATATATACATACATGCATATAGTTAAAACAAAGTCGAATATTGTAATAATTTAAATTAAAAAATTTAAAAGCCAACATCAATGGACTTAAAGCCAAAACAAAATCGAATCCATAAGCACACGCGTTTTTGTTATCAGCGAAGCGAAAAACAACTGCAACAAGCATTCCAGAAGTTTTAAGTACTCGTCGTATGGTAGTTAACCTTTACTTTTAACTTATATTTAATTATCGTCTCAAATATTTGACAGCTTTATCGTTTTCTTTTTTTGTCGATCTAAGTAAGTCATTTGTAGTAAAGTTGCTATAAACAAGACGTCCTTTTTAGTTAAATGCTTCATGATTTATTTTATTTTATAATGCAACTATGTACATATGGTACATGCATGCATAAAGGAGCGTGCTCAAAACAAAAGCGTCTACACCCAACGTATGTATTTACATACATATGTAATATTGGCATTTCTTTCAAGAAGGTATACATAATACTCTGAAAGTCTCTATATTCACAAATATTTTATTGTATATCGGTACACCGCCACCAAAACCCCGTCCATAACTATGAAACATATATGTAGATTGTTTCAAAGCTCTTGGGAACATTACTCAATAGTCCTTCCTACAATTAGCATCACATGCGGACTTGAGTTGCATAATTCAATATATTCAAATATATACATATGTATGTATGTATGTCAACATTTTTATGAAATATCCATTTCTAAATGTCTATTAGTTCACAGTCAATATAATATAATTTCAATTGAACATGTGTTCTTAAGTGCGAAAACAAAAAATATAAAATTTAATCAAAGCAAGTAATTTATAAGAGGATAAAAGATGGAAAAGTTGAGTAAAATTTTTTTATAATAGATTCTATCATACCACTCTGTTAATCATAAGTTTTTTATAAGTAAAACGAATAAGTTTTTATATTAAATACATTGTATGTGAATAACATTTATGTATGTATGTGACTACGTACCCATTTCATATCGGGTGTAAATAAAATGTAAACAAATTAACTTACATTTAAAAGGTATAACAATTCAATTATAAACGATAAACAAATGTAATAATACTGTGTGACAAACCAATAGAATAAACAGAATTAATTAAAAATTTGTATATTTTCTTCGCGTGTCGACTGCCACGGTGACCGACTTATGAGTATGGGTACAGAACCACGAATTCACCTAATCCCAAGGTAAGACCCTGCAGTCGGAGATCGACGAGGTGAACTTGCCTTAGTTAGATACGCTCGTATACTAGGACACACTCATATCCATTACAGAGGGGGAGATCGGGGACAATTTGTCTCAGGCCTGGAGTTCTCAGGGGGCCTGGTGCTCTGAAATCAATAATTTGATGGCTCAAGAGGCCCGCATCTCTGTTCCGATTTTTTCTCTACGGACCTTCTCAAATTTATGGAAGAGGAACTTAAGTGGAATATTATACTCGGAAGATGTATACAAACATCCTTCTAGCAAATAATTATGTGAAAGGTTAACACACCGGTATCAACACAACGTCGATTCGTTGTAAGACGTTTTAATTACACGTTCAAAAAGCACTTATAATTCTAGCCGGGCTCGAGGGCATATGCCTAATCTACTAAATACAAGTCTAATTCAAACATTACCATACACATTCACAAAATTTAATGAATTGAAATATTTTAGTATTAGACCCTCTTCGGCGGGCCGTTAAGTGTATATTTTTCTCAAAAAACCCCATAAGGATCAACACATTGAAAAAATCTCATCGGTTATAATTCGAAAAAAATAAGGATAAAGACAGAAATTGATGTGAATGCCGTTTTTCCTCGTATGTCCCTCTTTTCCATCGTACACAACTTCCAAACATTGAAGTTCGTGATAATAAAACTAAAAGTAGTGAAATAACCAAATTACCAGAACAGAAGATTTAAAAATTTTAATTGTTAGATTGATCACATAAGATGTTAAAATCTTTCTTGGTTTTTTGAAAACTTGTTTATTTGGAACTTAAAATTAAATATTAGCATTAAGAGATTATCGATAAAACATATTCGAACATAAGTATATCATTTTATAGATGCCCCGACGGTTGCCATACGATAATACATCAAGAATTCGGCTTCATAATCCGAATATGTTTGATTATTGTAATTTTTTTCAGTTGGAATATAGTGGCGCAACGGATTTACAAGCATAAAGTCGTATAGTTTTGAGAGTTTATGCAGTGTTCGATTCGTGTTTATGTTAACCACATCGATTTTATCCAGCATTTCCTCGATTTGCTCGCGGTGTTGTTTAATTTTAGGTTTGCAGCTTTGGGCGTCGACTATACGATTTAACAAAAAGAAATAATTTAAAAAATAGCACATACATAGATAATTAAGGAATACATATATGTTATGTCTAAGAGTAATTATTACCACTGTGTTGCTTACCCATAACCAAATCCAAATCCAATTTCAAGTCAAGCGAATGCTGGGCAATTAAACCCGCCCATTTGATACGATTACGTACTTCCTGTAAAGCCCCTGAAGCTGTCAGTAGACTGCCTGGCGCCAATTGCATTGTAGAAGAGAGTTCACGCGATTCCACGATCAATGGATTGGGTGACAGATGGTAAGCGCTGAAATTAACCAGAAGTACAAGGGTTACACATTCATGGGTATATGTATCTAGCACATTTCGATGCACTCTAAATGATATCTTACCATTCTTTCGTTATACAGCTAAGCTTTTCAAATGGGATTTCGGCGAAAGTAGATAACTCGCTTGAGTATGGTGGTAGAACGAAACGGATTTCGTTGTTGTTGCATCCTGTAGCCGCAGGCATAAGTGTGGTATCCGCACATCCCACACTTCGTCTAGATGTTCCAGTATTATTTACAGAGGTTGAGTTAAGTGACATCATAGTGGAGTCGAAGTCTAATTTCGTGCTACAGAACACCATGTCTCCACCACCCATTTCAAAGCTATCACCAATAGTAGATATATTATTGTTAACTTTAAGCTTCGTAGGCAGGAAATTGGATTTCATGCATCCGCTAATAATGGGTGCGCCAGCTGCACCAATTGTAGATATTTGCATATCATCCACCATACGTTTCAGCATATTTTTTGAATAGAGAATCTTTTCTTTGATTTGCCCAAGTTGCAACATTTCATATTGAATTCTATTAATCGATGTATTGATGTCACTATAAACATGTTTAATAGATCCCAGGATAACCTGTTGCAAAATCGAAATCAGATAAAATTATCTGCTTTTAGCAAGTATATTCTTAACATACCTCATGATTTTCCAATTGTCTAGCTCCATAATCAATATCAGCTTTACATTGTTCAATTTGTTGAGCTATGAAATCATTTTGACTCTTTGAGAAATTGCGCAAATTATACTGAACCAGGTAGTCAGATATGGTTTCATTTATATTTTCATTTGTATTGGCGTTAAATAGATTGACCTTTTTTTCTAACTCGTCTACAAAGGGACCATACGCATCGGAGAATCTTTCTTCTAACATAATACGTTCTTTGCGTGCAGACAGGTATTTCACCACTATGCCCAAAAGATCTGCTTTCGTTTGCAAAAGTTTTATGTCAAAAGAAGACAATGGGTCCTTGCTGCCTACTCCACTGAGGGAATGGCTTGTTGAATCCTCAATATTTGATTTATTTATTAATGACATTACATATTGAAGTTGCTCTTCCTTCAAACGCATTATTACATTGAAAAAAATAAAATTAGGCATGCTTGAAAAAGTTGCACGCATTTTTACCCAGAGTACATCCTTTGCTTCCTGAATGGTGGTAGCTTTAAATGATCAAACAAGTTATTTGTACATTCGTTCAATATTTCATTAACTTACGACTGCTTCCCTGATTGATATACAATGTATAAAAATCGTCGAGATCTCGAAGCGCTTGTTTAACTTCGTCCATGGCGATAACTTCACTCGCATTTTTAACTGTCAAACACACCGGCATTGTAGCAATTATTAATTTTTTATTATTTTCTTCCTGTATAATCTGTTTACGCAAAGCCACAGACTTAAAGTTTAAAATATTGATGCGAGATCTTAGAGTTTTCTGCTTATGCTGCAGACTAATGTGTTGGATGTCTAAATAAATAAAGGTGAATTGGTAAATATATTTTCTTCTAAAGTACTTTTTAAATAATAATTTACTTTTTGTTTTTATATTAATAGCCAATGTCTCATATTCCTTTCTGTATTCATCTAAACGCGTTGCTACGTCTTCCTTGTACTTTACAAGATCTTTTACTTTAAGGAAAATTTGCATTTCCTTAGGCAAAAAAATTCGCGCCGAAGCCTATAAGAATGAAATTCGTAAGTAATTTCTGTAATTATAATCGATCGATTACTGGTAAAAACATGTTCCATGATTAAAACAAAATATGAATGTATGTATGGATATACATATTTATCACTTTACCGACACCATATGACTCTTCAGTTGCTCCAAACGCTTGACAAGTATATTTTCGCGTACTTCACAAGCATCTTGCCGAGATCTTACACGCTTAATTAAATTACAAAATAAGTCACGTTGGCGCGATTTATATATCCTGGAAGTATTATACAAATCAGACAAATACACATTTTCTTATTGAGATGTATGACTAAACTTACGATTTTAATGCCTCTTCTGTGGGTATTGCTTCCGGCGGACAACCCAATCTGGCTGCCCACATCTGAAAACATTCTATGTCTATTTCTAGTGGCATTAAAAACTCAGTATTCTACTATGATTAAAAATATATTTTTTTAAATTGCTTCACACTCAAAATTATATTTGAATTATATTAACCATTCACAATTGCATACTTGCAGTTTGCTAACAGGGATGTAATTTTTCTTTCTGGGAATGAACTGTGGTGCTTGTTTTACTAAATTAATTATAAATTTCCCTTTTTAGCTTGTATTAAATACAAATCTGAACACTACAACAAATCTGAAAGTATTTATTTTTCTTCTTTATTTTAATACAACACATATCTAATAATGTGGAACTACTTTAATTTTAATTTAAGATATAAACTTCGATCATATGGCAGCACTATATACTGCACAAACAAATATTGACAATTGCGCGCATTTTTTACACTACTGACATCGAAATTCCTTGAATGAACTATTTTATTCAAAAAGTTCACTGCACATAAATGAAGGAATTATAAAATTATAAAATTGATATTTAAATGAGACAAGTGCTTAAAAAAACTTAAAAAGAAAATAATAAATATAAAGCGAATAAAAAATGAATAGAATTCAAAAGCTCTTTAATCGCCAGCAAGGCATCGGTAAGTATCGTAAATAAAGTGTAATTGTTGGTGTAAAAAAAAATTGGCGGCTGAAGTGGCGCGACCTGGAACCAAACCACTGAAGATTTAGCGGGAAATCTAGTCTAGATAATTTTGCTGGTGGACTATTAAGTTAAAGTTAGATAACAAAATCACACCTTTGAGCGGATTAAAGTCGGTCATCCAACTAAATTGTGCTGTGAATGCAAAATAACAGACAAGAAAATTTGCAACATACCGCATTGCATACACCTATATATAATAGTGTGCTTGTTTATACCAATATTTTTTGCTTGTTAATACCAATATTGATTGCATTAATTTTAGCAACTGACTATACCTATGACTTTGCCCTGCGTAGACTTTGTGTGACAAAGGAAGACAGCTGGCGCGGAATCTTACCGTCCAATTATAGCTCAGATTATAATCCAGAACCACCTATATTTTCGGCAAAATTTTCTAAATGTAATAATTTTAAACACATATTAGCTATTGCTAATGAAGATGGAAAGATTGCATTACAAGATACTACAAAAAAGAACGAAGAACCAGAAGAACGTTCTCTTAATGCTCCACAGTGCCATTACAATGCCGTTTTTGATTTGGAATGGGCGCCTGGAGAAATGAAATTTGTTTCTGCATCAGGGGATCACACAGCCAGCTTATGGCAAGTAGATGAACAAGGAGAAATTCGGAATATACGATCATTTGTTGGTCATACACGGTCTGTAAAAACAGCGGCGTTTCGCAGATGTGATTCATCTGTCTTTGCAACTGGAGGAAGAGATGGCGCAATTATAATTTGGGATACGCGTGCAAATTTAAATGTGGACTTAACACCACGCGCAGATAACTGCATTTATAGTGGACACGTTGGTGGGCCAGGTACCCCAGTATCTCATAGGAAACGCACACGAACACCAAAAATGACACCTAATGCCACATCAAGTAGTATTACAGGTCTGGCATTTCAGGTTAGTGTTTTATAACATATATATATTATATATACATTTATGTTCACATAAAATTATGTTTAAATATTTAGGACGCAAACACTCTAATATCTTGTGGAGCCGGTGATGGAATTATAAAAGTTTGGGATCTACGACGAAATTATACGGCATATAAAAAAGAACCTCACCCAAAACATAGTCTGCCATATGCTGGTTCCAGCACGTTTAAAGGTTTTACTAATTTGCTTGTTGACGAATCGGGTTCGCGTTTATTTGCTAATTGTATGGATAATACAATTTATTCATATAATCTGTGTTCATATTCGTCGAAACCTCTAGCGGGATATAAAGGCCTACTAAATAGTACTTTCTACATAAAATCTTGCCTTAGTCCAGATGGTAAATATTTGCTAAGTGGAAGTAGTGACGAGAAAGCTTACATATGGAATCTTAATTATCCTGATGAACCATTGGTTGCTTTGTGGGGTCATACTGTCGAAGTAACGTGTGTTGCATGGGGATCTACCCACGACTGTCCTATTGTAACTTGTAGTGATGATGCACGTCATAAAATTTGGCGTATAGGGCCAGAAAATATATCGGATTTCGATAATGTGGAGTTATTTCGGGGTCACGCTGAGTATGTTCGACAGTTTGGTCGAAGGTCACATGGGTCAACACATAAATACAACTTGCGTGACCTCGAGAATACTCCACGCTCACTCAAACGTATAATGGAGCAAAATGAACGTACTCCTAGTTCCATAGAGAAAGTAACAGCAAAACGTTCGTTTCTGGAAATGCTGGGAGGGGTGGCTGGGGAAGATGATTGTGAAGTATATGAACCTAAGCGACCAAAACCTTTGGAATCTAAAGGTAAACAGCTTAGAACTTTCAGAAGTGCGTATTTTTGTATTTATGTTATTTTTGTTTTCTAGGTCGCCGCCTATTTAGTCCTTCAACGTCGAACGTGACAAGCTCATTGAGTTTGACATCGCCACAGACCCGTTACATCAATTTGCAACTTATTCCGATACCAGAGGAGCGGTACACTTCTCCCACAAGTTCAACCAAAAGCTGCGCGGCCCATACCCATAGTAATGACAGCAACCAAGAAAATACAGTAGAGTCTGCAATACCATATGTTTCGTTAAAACAAACTTACCCGACCATACAATCGCCACTCAGTGAGCGAGTAGTGACTGAAAACCATAATTCTGACTATACATCACCAACTAACGCGGCAACGTCTAATAATTTAACATCACAACAGCCACCATTATCTTCAGTGATTTTTTCACCTACCTCAAATCTGCCAAATTATGTGCTTAACGGTGAAGCACCACATTTAGGAATAATGTCACCGAAACGCAAACACAAGGAAAAGATTGACTGGTTAACAAAAATACGTAAACAAAAATTGATGTCCTCCCGTAATGCAACACTAACCGAAAAAATTATTGAAGATTGCAATGGATCACAATCTCCGATAGCTTCTACGTCGTCACGATTACAAAATTTGCGAACATCGGAGGTTAGTCCGCGCTTCAATGTTACTCCACGTCGACGTAAGTCGAGTGGAACTCGTGACATACTATCTCATGACTCACCTTCGACGTCTCACCATCAAGTCTCACATCCCCCAAAAACACCGACATCCAGTCGTCGCAACAGTGAGACCACTATTTTGCGATTTTTTAGCGTTCGGACACAACAACAAAGCGAAACAACCGAATGTACATCATCAGCTACAACCACTACGGAAATTCTTGGGAACCTGCAACCATTAACTATATCCGCTGCGAGCACCAGTACGATTGGTAGTGTCAATAGAAGTATAGCTTACAATACGTCTACACATACTCAAGCCACCACCATCTGTAATGAATGACCCTTATATTTTTAATTTTTCACTTGCTATTTATGTATTAAGTATGTTTACGGTTGTCCTAATTATTGCATATACGGATGAAAATATTGTGAGTACACCCAAAGGTGGAACCACCGTTATTTACTTTTTAAAAAAGTTATTATAGTATTTAAGACTTATTCATATTAAGTAGTTCTAAGTGTAACCGATAGACTTTTCTAAAGTAAAATAGAAAATTTAAGACATTTATAAAATAAAACAGAGAAATCGAAAAGAGAACCTCAAATTGTTAAATAGTTGAAAATGTTTTTAATCCTTAGAAGTGTTTTTCGCATAAGTACCATAAGTACATGCCACCTGTTGTTCTATCTTGACAGGCGCATAATAAGTTGCAAGTTCAATGACAGTCGGGTCTCGTAACCCAAACGGATCCGGATATTTATTCGGCCAGGGACTGTTAAACTCGTCAATAATTTTATATACATATAAAGTATGTACATAAAGAAGATTTTCTACATATTTATAATAAAAATTAAATTACGGGACATCACATCATAGAAAATACAGTTGTTTTTCCAATGCGTTATGTGGTAAATGATTAAGACCTTCAGCAACTAGAAATTCTAATTTGTGTTTATTGCTTATTATATACAGCTGATATAAAAATTTTGCATCTTGAACAATTTTATAATTAATTGCTATTGTTAGGTCGTTTTTTTTAATGAAAAGTAAGAGCTAAGATAGTTAAAGGGACATACTTCTGGAGAGAGTAACGGCCATCGCCAAAATCTTTTATGCTTTCAATATTTTACGAAAGTTATGATATACATAAAAAAAAAAAAATATATATATATATTTATAATCGCAGTGATCACATCTTTATGAATATAACATTGGCATGTCCCTGTCCCTTATTATTATTATGTGGGGTAGAACCTTGAATAAAATACGATATTATATAAATATATATATTCTTCTTTGAGATATTTAAATATTCATTTAGATACACACAATATTTTGGTATTATTTCCAATACCAAACAATTTCTGTGAATGCATAAAAAAACTAGTTGTAGCTTTCAAACTTGAAAGAAAAAATCTATTGTTTTTTGACTAGAAACCGTCGAATATAAAGAAAAAGGTAACTCCACAGTAAAAAAATAATCCACTTTTTATTAACATTAATAATAATAATAAACATCAATATAAGTACTTTTAGTTCCAAAAGTACAAAAAAAAAGTTTTAAATGTACATATTCGGAATACATAAAAAATAATGCATTTCAAAAATAAAAATGATATAGGTATTAATATATATTCATAAAATGTATGCAAATGAAGTGTTGGGATTAAACGTATGTATATAAAAAGTTGTCAATCAAACATTATTCAATTAGATAAAATAAAAAAAAATATAAATTTTTCATAAAAAATAGAGTTGCTTTTCCAATGCGTTGTGCGGTAAACGATTAAGGCTCTCAGCTACTAGGAATGCTAGTTTGTGCGCATATTGGCATACTGCAGGTACGCGACAAGTTCCGCTCCAATTATAATAAAGGTGTGTCATTTTGTACGTTAACATTTGTATTTTGTCGGCATCGAGACCCATAGTGTCATAAATGACATTATAACTCGTAGGCGACACCGTACCTTGACGCACAGACTGCGAAACTAAAAAGAAATCATATCGTTCAGGTAAAGTAATGACATCGTCAACCACGGTTCCTGGAGGTGGATTTCTGCCAGTAATAAAATAACGTGTATTTATGCGTTTTGAAACCACTATAAAAGCCATGGGACAAGGTGTCGGCTCTCCAGCATTTTTGTAAATCTCATCTAATTTATCTTTTAAAAACTTAACTTCAGTGTTAAACACCTGGGGCAATTGTCCATCACCCACTCCATCACGATAAAACAGGATTCTTTTTGGCAACATGCCGTGTTCAAGTCGATATGCTTTTAGAGCATACGTCATTTTCATGGATATATCATTCGAAAGCTCTTGTCCTTTCATATGTTGTGAAACTGTGGAGAAATAATGGGGTTTTGACTTCAAATCCATTGTTGCAACCAAAGCTCCATATGATTTATTTTTTTCTTTGCCTGAATGGCAGACATCAAAACCAACTGTCATTAAACCACTTATTGGAATTTCTGTCATCCAAGGTGCCCCCATAAGCTTGGCATTCATTTGTATTACCACTTTAGTTGCGATAGACATTAACCCAGAAGCTCTGTCACCTCGAGGAGCAATAGTTCGAAGAGTTACAACCTGAGACGGTACTGGACGATCAATGCAACATTTTTTTTTTATACAGCTATATTTTTCTTCATTGGCAGCCGGCAATACTACCATTAACATTTGAGGATCACCGGCTACAGATGTATTAATGGCCTGTGAATAAGTGCCATTACGATCGTCTAATATTTGTTGGTACATGGGTTCAGCAATTCGCATCTTCATACCATTGGCTGCTCTTATGCACATTTGTACGAAATTTTGAATTTCCCTTAAATTTCTTTTAAGGGCTATCACGCACCATCTTGTTATATCTATATTCTTGTACATTGATTTGTTGCGAAGTTCTTTTGTCCAATCAGCAGTACTATTACAATCATATCGTTCATTGTTACCAAAGGCTATTCGACACTGCGGCAAAATACGCCCTGGAACTTCGACGAGATTTCTATCTAATTGCATACTCCAAGAATTTAGAACTCCAACACTCTCAGGTGTCTCATTCAAACGCTTGTTGAATATTCTCAAACGTTCAATACGTCTATCAGGCGCCAAACGAGTAAATTCACTCATTGCTCTCATTAAACTAAAATTACTTCTCATGGCGTTAGTGAGTCCAGTTGAGCGTGCCAACTCTGGAATCAACATTATAAACTCATTTTGACCAGCCCGTATATTACGTTCTGTTGGTCGAGATACCAATAGAGGTTGTTTTGCGTCTTTTATATGAAGATTATAACGCTTTTTGTAATATTCCATATAGGAAATATCACCATCTTTTGTTTTGAATTTAGACATTGGAGAAGACTCAAAGTCGACGTCATCCACTCGATATGTTTTATTATTGTAATCTGTAAGGACAATAGCACCGATAACTTCATGTTTAAATGAGTTAAGTGGATCCGATTTATTGTGGCATTCTTGTAAAGTCTTATACACAGAATCAGTGCGCATTACTTTATGCGCTATTTCCGCACATAACAAGATATCTTGCTCGTGTTGACGTATGGAAGTCTGATAACCAGGCCATAATTCAAGACAATAGGCATTAAGAGAATGTTTTGCTTTTGGATCGAAGAAGCTACGTCCAACGAGTTGTAATTTAAGACCCTCCATAGCGCGACGTAAAATAAGGTTTAATACTTGAAGTTGTTGTGCATCGGTAACTTCCAACTGCCCAACGTATTTCATTTTTATTTGAATGGTTTCACCTTCTCGGTTCTTCGTTAAAAGTTCTAATTGCTGTTTCTCTAGGTATTTTGTACAAAATAAAACAGTTCCATCAAAAATATATCCTTCAAATATTTCTTTATGATGTGCTAAATAAGCACGTCTTACGCGCACCATGTCAACGTCTGGCGCAAAGTCAACGCGATATTGATGTATAGACCACTTTGGTTTCTTCAAAATACGATAATAGTTTGTCTGAATAACCACCTTTCTCCCAGTTTGACCTGTTTTCGTAACACAAGTGGGAGGACGAGAAGTTACAACTTCAGTTATTATACGCTTTCCCCGCACTGCTCCCCGAGAATCCTCTCTAACAATAGGCGCATCTCCTATTGCCATTTCTCGGTGTGCAGTGGCTCTTCCTTGCATAACTGGTGCAGGTGCGCGCTGCTGCATGGGCGCAGTACTGCAACTTTGCTGTTGCAAACCTGAACCACGAGCGACTCCTGAATTTGGCTGACCCCATGCAGATGTTGATGGAGCTTGAGTAAACCTCCTTGAAGGCCTAGGTGCATCGGCATTTTGCTCACCCCGTGTGTTCCGGTTTTCAACTCGAGGTTGCTGAGGATTTGTCGCTCGCCCTCGACCTCTGGAGCGACCAGCACCTGATAATTTTTCCATCCTTCAAAACGTGCTTCCAAACTATGGATACAATATGTAAAATAAGAAACAAGCAACAAGCAACAACGTATAGCCGTTATTAAATAAATGCACGCCAACCGAGTTCGACATTCACGTTAGAGTTGCCACACTTTAGGGCATTATATGAGATTTGCAAAAACTTTTACATAGAAACATTGTAATTTATAAAAGTCGCCTGTGTGTCATAAAAGTTTGTCCTATATGGTGCTATGTGCTTACAATTGCTCATATATAAAACGCTACTCTAATAAATTTATATGAGAGATACTATTACATCATCAATATGTTTCTCGTACATGTTTACACATAGCCAATGAAGAATCTAAAATTATTATGTATGTCGGTATGGTGAAAGGATTGCATACCAAAGTGTGTCGGATATAGCTACTTTAAGAAAAAAGTTGTCGGATGTATAATAAGTAACTCCAAACATTTTATAATAAATACTATAACATTTTAAATAGAAAACAAGATAATAAATATATTAATAAGTACCTTATTTTAATTCACAAAAAGAAATCCATACAACGTATATATAATATTTATACTTCAATAAATTAAGTAACCACAGAATGCACACTTAATAATTAAATAGCATTAGTTTGGCAGCCCCATAATTGCCCCATGGCATCAGACCTTTGTCAATAGATCCAAAACCAAGTACAGTTGAGTTTTATAGTAAACAGTTATACATTAAGGGTTATCGATGCTTTTGTTGCTCATTATTATTATCGGAAAAATTTCTTCTGGTGTTCGTCATTGCATTCACATGGCGCCTCGTGTTGCCGAACTTTCTGCGAACGCATCCGAAATGTTTTAGAAAAGGCGGAATAGGGATACAAAAACTTGCTAAACAAAAAGATTTTTGTACCGCGTATATAAGCGAAGAAAAATTTGGGGATAGGATAAGAAACTGAATGTAGAAAATGTATAGTACAAACAGTCACCGACGCAAAACCGTGGACCGAATCAGCTGATACGACCTATCTTATGAAAGCGAAATGTAAATGAACAGTCACCATCGCTTCTACCGTCCGCTTCAACAGACCCATAGCAAGTATCAGGGATAATGGCAAGGATGATAATGGAATGCCCAACTCTTTCCAGTGTGAGAGCGCCTCAAAACATTATATAAATCTACTTAGTGCCGTTTCACACAGGGATTCAAAAGAGTCTCATACCAGTTTATTGTGGGCGAGGGGACGACGAGGAAAGACGAAGGGACCGTGCCACTCGTGTTCGGGTGGCACGCTTTGTGTTCTTGTTCGTAACAGCTCGCTGCTACCCTTTTCAGCATTCCTTTTCACTTTCAAATTCTTTGAATGGTTGCAAGAGCGCTCGGTTTCAAATGAATTCGATCGCAAATTTGAGTTCTGTTATCTATTTTTGTATGTAATATGCAAATACGTATGCATAGAATAATAGAAATATTATGACAAATTGTAAATAAGGAGAAAATTAAGATATAGATTATGGAGTAAGAAATTATGAGTTTTAATACTTAAAGATTAGGAAATTCCATTATAAATTTGGCCTTGAAAATATTAGTTGCGGATATTCAATACAATCTTGTGGATTAGGGAATTCCCGTCTTTAGTATTTCTTTGAAACTATTTAGCGGGTAGGTACTTGTATTATGCATATTGTTCTACCATATTCATGGTAATTCATTGCAAGCAAATGTGTGACCATCATCTCAACATACAAATGAAAAGGCAGCACGCAGTGTTGCGCGGTGTTGCGCAGTCGAACTGCACAAATATTTACGAAAATTTTGTGAAAGGAATGCAGAAAAACTAGACTCGAGTTGCTGGACTCTTTTGACCGTGTGAATGTCAAAGCGACACCAAAGAAATTTGAAAAACTCAGACTCTTTGAATCCTGTCTGAAACGGCACTTAGACGGCTTTTCTTTGGGACTCTTTTGACCCTCATTTTTCAAATTCTCTTGGTGTCGCTCTGTACATTCACACGGGCAAAAGAGTCCAGCAACTCGAGTCTTTTTTCTGATTCTTTTCACAAAATTTTCGTAAATATTTGTGCGGTTCGACTGCGCAACACTTAGAGCGTGTTGCATTTTATTTGTATGTTGAGATGTTGGTCACACATTTTGCTGCAATGAATTACCATGAATATGGTAGAACAATGTGCATAATACAAGTACCTACCCGCTAAATAGTTTCAAAGAAATACTAAAGACGGGAATTCCCTAATCCACAAGAATGTATTGAATATCCGCTACTAATATTTTCAAGGCCAAATTTATAACAGGAATTTCCGAATATTTAAGTATTAAAAATTTATAATATCTTTACTCCGTATTAAAAATTCATAATTTCTTTACTCCATAATCTTAATTTTCTCCTTATTTACAATTTTTCAAAATATTTCTATTATTCTATGCATACATATTTGCATATTACATACAAAAAATAGATAACAGAATTCAAATTTGTGAACGAATTCATTTGAAACCGAGCGCTCTTGCAACCATTCAAAGAATTTGAAAGTGAAAAGGAATGCTGAAAAGGGTAGCAGCCAGCTATTACGAACAAGAACACAAAGCGTGCCACCCGAACACGAGTGGCACGGTCCCTTCGTCTTTCCTCGTCATCCCTTCGCAAACAATAAACCGGTTTGGGTTACAAAAGAGTCTGTGTGTAAGAGCGATCTTAGTGCCGTTTCAGACAGGGACTCAAAAGAGTCGCATTTTTTTCAAATTTTCTTTTGGTGTCGCTCTGGGCATTCACACGGCCAAAAAGAGTCCAGCAACTCGAGTCTAGTTTTTCTGCATTCCTTTTCACAAAATGTTCGTAAATATTTGTGCGGTTCAACTGCGCAACACTGCGTGCTGCGTATTTCATTTGTATGTTGAGATGATGGTCACACATTTTGCTTGCAATGAATTACCATGAATATGGTAGAACAATATGCATAATACAAGTACCTACCGCTAAATAGTTTCAAAAATACTAAAACGGAATTCCCTAATCCACAGAATGTATGAATATCCGCTATTATATTTTCAAGGCCAAATTATAATAGGAATTTCCTAATCTTTAAGTATTAAAACTCATATTTTCTCTACTCCATATTAAAATTCATAATTTCTTTACTCATAATCTATATCTTAATTTTCTCCTTATTTACAATTTGTCATAATATTTCTATTATTCTATGCATACGTATTTGATATTACATAAAAAATAGATAACAGAACTCAAATTTGCGATGAATTCATTTGAAACCGAGCGCTCTTGCAACCATTCAAGGATTTGAAAGTGAAAAGGAATGCTGAAAGGGTAGCAGCGAGCTGTTACGAACAAGAACACAAAGCGTGCACCGAACACGAGTGGCACGGTCCCTTCGTCTTTCCTCGTCGTCCCCTCGCCCACAATAAACTGGTATGAGACTCTTTTGCGTCCCTGTCTGAAACGGCACTAAGTGATCTTCAACAGAAGCACAAATCTCTCTGTTTACATATTTTTCTGTAGGATTTTAATTTGGCCGTCCCTCTTTTTCCAATTGTTAAACGTCAGACCTACTGAACTCAAGTAACTGTCAAAGTTCAGTAGGTTTTGACGTTTATCAATTGCGCCTTCATTTCCAGTGAGACGAGTTGGGTATCTCTTTATCTCTGGCCATAGATAACATGTCCATAGACAACATGTCCATAGATAACATGACCGTACGGTAGGATAACCGCGAAAATTGGATTTTTTCCGTAGAAACTAGTGAGCTGAGAGTGAGAGAACAATCTTTTGCAACGCAGGGTTGCCAGTCTCGATATTTTGAAATATTCTTAAAATAACTCAAAATCACAGTCGAGTACACTTAGTTATATATAGGAGCTTCTCAGAGTGCGTTCACATGGGGATTATTTTGTCGCTTCTTATCGGCGAATTCTCTTTTACTGTCGCTCTGTGCGTTCACACGAGCGGAAAGAGTCCAGCAACTCGCCCCGAGTCATTCTTTTTCATAAAATTTTCGCAAATGTTTGTGCGGTTCGGCTACGCGACACTTTGAGCAAATAGCATAGTTCATTGCTATGAAAGTGGTAGAACAATATTTAGAATACCCGCTATTAATATTTTCAAAGAAAACCTTTTGACGGGAATTCTCCAATCTTTCGGGAATTATTAAAAAATCGTAAATTTTTTACTACAGAATTGTTTGTATTTACTACGAAACATTCAATTATTAATTACATTTCTTGTTTTAAATAAAATGTATAATTTTATTCGAACTAAATCATTTGCGGTTAAATAAATATTTAAAAGTAACTCCATTTTTTAAACTGCTAAATTTTATTAAAAATTTTAATTATATATTTTTGAGTATGCTAATTTAACCTTATTCACATTTTTTAAAAATATTTCTTTATTCTATGCATATTTGCACACTACATACAAAAAATAGATAACGAAATTCAAATTTTCGATAATATGTGTATATTAATTTGAAAACAAGCGCTATTGCCACCATGAAAAGAGCTTCAAAATGAATGCTGAATTGCGTAGGAGCGAACTGTTACGAACAAAAATACAAAGCGTGCCACCTGAGCACAAGCGGCACAGACCCTTGTTTTCCTCGTCGTTCCCTCGCTAACAAAAAAAAAACGGTTTGGGCGACAAGAGTCCGTGTGGGAACTCAGACTTACGAGCAGCACAAATGTATTTTTCAGACAAACTGTGAAAAAATGCCCGATAAACTTCCGACCTAACAGTAAAATTAAATAGATTTAATTTGAATATAATATACTTCGTTTTATTGTAAACACTTTTTTAATTATACATATTATTTTAATTTAAGTCATTAAATTTATTTAACTTTGCTCTTAGTTTGTTGATCCACAAATGAATTTATTGCTGCACTTTTTCCAGTTGCCTTGAGGAAGTTGCCACCCACACCAAATAATAATACGATGTGACAGATGTGTAATAAGCTACTGGAGAAATCCGTACTTGGATATGTATTCCAGCACAGTTCAATCAAACCGAGTAAGAGAAATCGCAAACCCAAGCTGTAATTTGTTGACCATATGAGGTAGGGCAATGAATGATAATACCAGACGTAGAATTGATAGTGCAACGAACGTGCGCAAAACATCCCAAGAAAGTTACAGAGGAAGAATGGTAATATGGCCAATTGTGCACATTTTTCAAAATGTATCGATACCTTCTGATCTTGGTTTTGAACTGGATGTGGGGACTGGGTAGTTGGTCTAAATCCAGTGCTATTTTGCAGACCTTTCTCAAACGACTTTAGGAATTTTCCTTGGTCAGGTGTTAACTTCTCTTCGTTATCTTTTGCCGCAATTTGTTTGCTTTTTTTACGGTTTTTGTTTTCGTTAATACGATTTTTTTCCAATTCCATATTTTTTAAATCAATTTGAGGTTGTAATTGATCTTGCAGTGCTCGTAGACGCACATAACTCTTAAAATATATGATCGTTGGGTTTGCAAATAAAAAGAGAAGGAATATATGTACCACGATTAATAATGCATGGAAGGCTTTATTTTCGAACAATGAGCGCGTAAGGAACCTATAATTTACTGTCCATTTGTGTTCAAAAACGCGTTCAAAATCGAAGCTTCCTTTTAAATATGCCTCAGGATACGTTAATAGAAATGGCGCCCCTAGAAGTAGTTGTAAACCACCACAAATAGCTAATTGCAGTACAGTCTTTAGGTAACCTAAATTAGCTATGTAAAAAAGCAACAGTGCAGGAGCAAAAAGTAAAATGTTCATCTTTACAGCTACTGCTATACTAAAGCAGATACTGCCAATAGTCCATCTTCGATCAAAAAACAAGTTTAATGCTGCGTATAGAAATAATACCGCTATGGGATCGTTGAAGAGGCGCAGAACATATATAGAGTGTATGCGGTATGATGTGAAGGTACTTATCAATAACACATATGGAGGAACTTTGCGGCTTTTAGTATACAGACGTAGCACAAGCCACAATTGCAAAAGGTATATAAATGCAAATATGTATTGGGCTAAGCGAATATTTTTTCCATAAGAAGTTATATAGTACAATGCCGAATATATGTAGACAAATGCTGCAGGATATACAAGTGGGCCGGTATCACCTACACAAATAGAAAAATAGTTATAATTTTCAGACAGTTTTGATTTTGTACTTAATATGGTATTTTTAATATACTTTCAAAAACTGTTTCAATTGACTTACAAAATTTAAATAATAATTAATATAACAAATTAGTATTGGGCATAAACTAAAAAATTGAATTTTCTTAGGAGTTTGAGGTCACTCTGTGCTGAATATCTCTATTATCATTGTGAATTGCTATCAGCTGTGTATAGCTATTGTGAGTGAAAGAAGCAGAAGTTCAGAGTGAAGCATGGTCGGTGCTGTTACCGCATAGGAATGTCCCTGTCCGAAGGAGTTATTGTTAAAATGTTTTCATCCGCCAAATCTATCAATCTGCGTGCATTTCGCCAGCTCTCAAATCGTGCTAATAGTTATTATTCGGCAGAATGTTTCGGATTGCAACAAATGACACAGCGACGATTCCTTTCTGGTTGGAATGGAGGTGGAAAAGTGTCGCCGAGATTATTGTTGACTACAATACCCGGGCGACAACAGCGGTTTGATATACACATGACAAATGTTTTATCCGCCAAAGACTACTACCAAATATTAGGTGTAGCTAAAAATTCTAGTTCAAAAGACATTAAAAAAGCATATTATCAGCTCGCTAAGAAATATCATCCTGACACAAACAAAAACGATCCAGATGCAGGCAAAAAATTCCAAGAAGTTTCTGAAGCATACGAAGTTCTAAGCGATGACACTAAGAGGCGTGAATACGACACGTATGGTCAGACATCAGAAAGTATGGGACGAAGTGGGGGATTCGGTGGACAGGGTCCGCAAGGTTTTTCACAAAATTGGCAATTTCGATCTACAATTGATCCAGAAGAATTATTTCGTAAAATATTTGGCGAAGCTAACTTTCGAAGTAATAGTTTTGATGATTTCGCCGATTCCAAATTCGGCTTTGGTGCTGCTCAAGAAATTGTTATGGATTTAACATTTGCACAAGCAGCTAGAGGTGTTAACAAAGACGTCAACGTAAATGTTGTTGATACGTGTGCAAAGTGCAATGGATCAAAGTGTGAACCTGGCACAAAACCTGGTCGTTGTCAATATTGTAATGGCACCGGAATGGAAACAATTTCTACCGGACCATTTGTTATGCGTTCCACTTGTCGTTATTGTCAAGGAACACGACAGTACATTAAATACCCATGTACTGAATGTGATGGCAAGGGACAGACGGTGCAACGCAAGAAAGTAACCGTTCCAGTGCCAGCAGGTATAGAGAACGGTCAAACCGTACGGATGCAGGTTGGACGTAAAGAGCTCTTTGTAACTTTCCGCGTAGAAACCAGCAAATATTTCAAACGGGAAGGCGCCGACGTACATACGGACGCCTCTATATCAATATCACAAGCTGTTTTTGGAGGTACCATACGCGTACAAGGTGTATACGAAGACCAATGGATCAACATACCAGCAGGTACTTCGTCACATCACAAAGTGTTTCTTCGTGGAAAGGGCCTAAAACGCGTTAATGCCCATGGCCACGGCGACCATTACATAAATATCAAAATAGAAGTACCTAAAAATCTTACGAAAGAACAGAAAGCTATAATGGAGGCGTATGCGGAACTCGAAACGGACACACCGGGACAAATCAACGGAATTACCAGACAAAAAGATAACACCAAAAAGGCTACGTAATTACACTTTAAACATTTTTTTTGTTCATACAAGTAGTTATTGACCCAAAAATTTTTGTTGTTACAGAACAGAGGACACCCCGAAAACGTTACTATCAAAAATTAAATCGCTCTTTAACAGATAGTCCACATAATATTAGAGATTTACGTGTGTATAAATGGGTAGAAGTAAATGATCGCTTGTATTAGGAACGACACAATTGAATACTTTATTGATTTAATTAGTTTAATGGACGGTGAAAATTGAAATAAAATAAATTACTATTAAAAGCCGTAAAAAATCAAATGAGCAGATGTTTAATTTGAAAACAAATATTCACGGATGATTATGTGCAGATTAAAGAACTTTTTCCATATACGTAATAACAATTTGAATATTAAAATGCGTATCGTATTCACACGTATGCAATAAATAAGCTTTTAACGTTGTTTTATAACCAAGATTCGAAGGTCTTGTCATCATCTGCCAAGTAAATACTTGCAATTCGACAAACTTGGCTAATTTTGGCCGTTACTTTGGATCGAATCAAGGTAGACACAAACCCTGAACTTCAAAGCTACATAACTCGAACGGGCCTGAATGAAAGCTGTCAGTAATCTCCCAAATTACTTTGAGTATTTAACAATTAGTTAGGACAAAATATAAATGTAACTGAAACTTAAACTTGAATACAAGACATAAAAAAAGGTTTGGAGATTATTCTATAAAAGATGCAAACGTTTTTGGAATCAATTGTTAACTACTGGTTTTTAACACATGTACATACATATACATATATCGTCATCTAAAGTTAAAACAACGTACCATCAAAATATTCGAAATTCGAGTTTTTTATTAATTTTATATTACGAATACATATGTATCAAATGCATCTGCTATCAGATATAACCATGATTCAAATTTTGTTTCAATTAGTTGTTTCTATTTTATATCGTTATTTTGCATTTTAGGTGACGATATGGATATTACTACGCACGTATGTACACAATTTTCTTCATAACCCCATTTAATTTGTACCGGCTCGATTTTGTTAATGTGGTATCTGCATACTTAAGTTTAAAAATAGAATACGTATAATATGGCTTTGCAAAAAAAATTCAACTTACCTTTCAGCTGTCTATAATCTAAAGTTCCATTTAGAAACCCCTCACATTCCTGCATATAGGCGATCCAATCTATTTCAGTGTAAGGCACTCTCCAAATCACATTGATGTTTATTATCAGCTCTGCTAACAATATCACAACTGATATCAAAGGCAACGCGGCAGGATCCAAAATTAAATACTTTGCATACTCCAAATTTGCGTACTGCTCGAAAAAACTCTTTATTTTAGAGCGATTGCTTACAGATCTATTGCTACCCGGTGGGTGGTTTTTGAGGTTCAATGGCGGCATTTGTCCCAGCTGAACTACCCTATAAACTTCTCTATCGTTACTGTTTTGAATTGTTGTTTATTTTTTTATCAGGGATTCTGTTCAATCAAATTTCTCCGTCAAACCAGCACAGTGTGACAGTAATAAAGAAATGTTAGCACTGTTTACCTTATCTATTGTGAATATTTTTTGCTTATATTAGAGCAGAGAACGTATATTATATATATTATATATGATGTACGTTCTCTGATGAATCATGGTTTTAAAGCATAATTAATTAGACACTGCATTTGTTTTCGTATCAATTATTTACAACCGCTCTTTAACCAAACAAATATAGTATGTAAAGTATGCAAATTAATTATTAATATGCTAAGATGAATTTCGCGGCCAACTGTCAAATTTATAAATATGTCGTGCAGAGGGAGCTCTTACTCAAACAAAATCCGACGGATGTGGATGATGCATTCTTGACAAACTGTGTAATATTTGTAAATTTTATATATTGTCAATTAATCATAATAAGCTAATTAAAAATTTAAAAAATTGCTTACATTAAAACGAAGACTTAACTAGAAGTTGCTATTTAAAATATTATGCTCAAATTGCGCAACCCGTTAACTAAGTTCACAAGAAGAAGTAAAGTAAGAAAACACTGACTATATATTTATGAAATTTTATTGACTCACCGAAAAAGGAAATTGGGTGAGTTAGCTAGTTCATTCATGATTTTTTTACTAATGAAAAAGTTTTACGCAAAATGGCTGTTTTCTCTGATTTAAAAAGTGGCTTAATGGACAAAGATTTCACTATTTTGAAGGTCTCAAAACTTCTCACAATTTAACCGGCTTCGAATGTTTCAGAATCTCTCTAGATGGACTCTGTACCGAAGAATATGTCCACGCTATAATTTCTACGCAAACAGTTCTGTTGTGAGGGAGATATTTATGTACGCACCTAGATATACAATATAGCAGTAAGAAAGTTCATTACATACTTTCGCATATTTTATGAAATTCGATATATTTATTTTACACTACTACATATTTTTTTTACGCTTTAAATAATTGCGATTTATATAATTCGACCATGATCTTATTTCTAAAATCCTACTTTTGAAAATATGTTACCTAGCAAAAATGTATTTAGTCAATCTCTTGTGAGAAAAAATATGTGTATTAATCCTGGATACAAGTATAAATAATGGATATAAAATTCTGTGAGAATTCCAGTACCTTATAATTATATTATTATAATATATATTTTAAATGTAGCAGTACCTTCTTAATAAGTACCTATACAAATGTAGGTATGTACATACATAGATCGAGTCATGTTGAACATTTTTCACAACTTATCCACGTGTATCATGCTGCGGCAATAGCTATTGCTGATCTAGGTGATACTTGGAAACGTGTGTTGAAAAAGCAAAGTATTATTTAGACTAAAAATATATTTCGTGGCGGAATTTCTGTCAATCACTATTACTGATATTTCAATATGCTTTAAATGTAACTAGAGATAGAGAGTACAACTGCGATCCATTTTTATATTATATTTAGATAACTGCTTTTATAAATTATAAATTTTGACCCATGCCATTTACAAATATAAAAAACAGCTGATAGAGGCATACTTAGGTTGCAAGGGAGTCAACAAAAAAAAATAATGCTCTTACTCTTCGTAGCACTGGTCAGCTGCAGATCGGAATTACTCAGGAATGCTATTGCTTATGGAGGAGAAACAGGAAATCGTGATCACTGAACAAAAAGAACAGTGGCGCAATATTCATGTCGTTATATTCACATCAAATGTGCTTAGATACCACAGTGGTCTTGTTTTCAATGATTGCTTTGTTATTTTCGTTTCTTCTTTGGTGTGTGATTTGTTTTTATCTCGTATCGAAGCTCTCGACACTCTTTCTTTTGGAATGGATATATAAGCGGTTGTTTTATTTTAGCTTTCTTGTTTTTTCGGATATGTGTGAGTGCCTACCCGGTAGAGAAACGTTAAACTGGTCGGAAACTAAAACCAATCAGTAACTAGAAATTCTATATGTGGTAAGTTTCAAAAAGTATTCGAAATTAATCTTCAAGCAAGTAAGGAAGGGCTAAGTTTGGGTGTATCCGAACATTTTACTCGTATACTCTTGCAACTTGCAATGAGCAAATCAGGGAAAATACCTTAAGGTATTGGCAAAATTTCAAAAAATGTTGCGAATTCTTCATTCATTATACAAAATCAAATGTGATATTTTATTAATTTCACCGATTTGTACCATTTTCGCCCTGTAACATGGGAATCTCAAAATAATCCTTGGTACCAAATTCGGTTGAAATTGGTTGATTAGGCCCAGAGATATATGATTTCACCTAAATGTACGCACTTTTAGTAATTTTCAACAAAGCCTTTATGGGGAATGGGCGTAGTTATCATACGATTTCGCAAGATTTGTCGAAATGATTTGTTCTGTCTGGGTGATATAGCTTGATTGGCTTGGGAGATATATACATTAAACCATTTTTGAGGACGGGGTCACGCCCACTTTTTAAAAATTTTCAAAGGACGGGTGCCCCTCGTTGTTGCAATTCGTTGTACAAATTTACAAATTTGTATCTTAATTTGCGACTTAGTTATGGAAATTTATAGGTTTTCGATTATTGTCAATTTGTGTGCGTGGCAGTGGTTCGATTACGCCCATCTACGAACTTGTCCTCACTTTTTTGCCAAGGAACATGTGCACCAAGTTTTATTAAGATATCTCAATTTTTACTCAAGTTACAGTTTGCACAGACAGACAGTCACCCGGATTTGAAATCGTCTCTTCATCCTGATAATTTATATATACATAAACCTATATCTATCTCGATTAGTTTTAGATGATACAAACAACTATTAGTTGAATAAAACTATTGTATTAATATAGATTTGGGAGTAGTTACAAAGTAACCACTCGAAGGTCCTCTGAGTAGTGCCCTGATCAGAGAATGTTAATTGAATATTCACTAAACTTCTCTGGTTATACTCCCACCAATCAGCATTTACGTTCTCCGTTCTAAATTAAATTCACGAATGCTTAGTAGGAAGATCGACAAAGATGAGCTGCAATATCAATAATTACGTACATATTTTATTTGCATGTAGCACATTTATACATACATATGTAGCGAAAATATATATGTAACATGAATATATTCAAAACCCAGCATACAAATTGTCAGGCGAGTGAACCAGAGTGTATTAGTATTTATCTGTTCCTAGCAAATATGTGTGTGTGTATCTAGCCGGTCAAATAAAAATGTGTAATATATGCACATAGTATATACTTAGGCAAATGTGTGTCTATGTACATTCCATAGTAAGGTGATCTCTAGGTAATCTAAAACTCTCGAATGGTATTTTTTATTTTTATTTTATCCAATGATAAAATGACACATTTAGCTAAACAAAGCAGATGTCCTAAACCCGATATTTTAGAAAGGATCGCTGCTACGGCAATAAACTTTATGGATTTTTATCATTTGTAGATATGTGACTTAGTTATCACTTAAGTTACGCTGAAAATGATTTTCATAAAATATTTAAATAATTATCCACCCTAACAATTTATGGTTAACACAGTAACAACAATAACAATAAACGATGTGAACACAGTTTGCGATGCGATTGCCGGTATCAACAGCGAAGCAGAAGTAAATAGATGCGGAATCAGCAGCGACAATAACAACAATGACGGTTTGTAGTAAGTCGGTATCGAAAACAGCCGATGCGAATCAGTTGTAGCAGTTCAAACAGTTAAATCAGTTGAAGTCTAGCAACGAACGGTAAAGGTATAGGTGTTCTGTGGCATTCCTTCAAAGCGCTGAACTAAAATTGTATGTGAAGTAAAAATAATTTTAATAGGACTATTAAATAAATAAGAAAGTCATTGTACTACTGAAAAACTAAAAAGTGATTCTTAAAAGAGACTCTTGTGTTGTATATATGCATGTACATTTGTTTCATTGTTGTTTACATTTTACCGGCATAATTTAAAATTTTCAAGTTACACCAGTGACGAAAAGAGAATAATTATGATATTTATATACAGTAATTTAAGCAAAAAATTAGATATGTATGTTTGTACATGTGTGATGAGAAAATGTGTTCGTTTAAAAAAACTGCGTTTGTTATTAAATTAAAATTCGAAACTAGAACTAGAATCTGTTAAATGCATACAAAAATAAATGTTCTTCCTTCGCCATTTAGAAGAGAAAATTTTTTCAACTAGTTCGAGCTATATTATTTGCTTGCCATCTTTGAATTTCGCTTTTTTGTGAATATGTTTACTATTTGGATTCGCTTATTACAACAATGCTTTTAATTTTATTTGAGAAAGTATTTTTTCTCTTCCAATGTCAAATATTAAATAATGTCTTATATTAATATTTAAGTGAAAGCCAGATTAAATTTGGTTAATTGTGTTCATACTTATATGCAAATCCTTAAAGGATTCTTTAAGCTATGTTATGTGTTGAAAAAGCCACCAGTTTCAGGAAAAAAAAACAAAGTTCAGCGTTATAATTTAATTTTAAGAATCTTGAATTTGATTATATCAGTTTAACTGTTTTTAGTTTCGGGGACAATTCCTTTCATAGCCGAAGTTCTCATGGGGACGCGATGCTCTGCAACAATGTTTTGAAAGTTTTTTTTTTTCAACAAATCCCTACAATCATCCCCGGGTCCTGGTTTTCTCTTCACGGCATAGATTAGGTGTCTTAAGAGTAAAGACTCTGCTTCTTTCTTTCTGCAACGACCAGTAGCCTAGTTTCATAGTAGTATTCCTGCCTAAGTATATTATGGGAAGTTTGGAAATTTGTTCCACTTTTGTCTACATAAATCCACATACCTATACAGATGTAAAAACATATACACATATATGTACATATATAACTTCTTTTAAATTAATCGTTTAAAAGTAAGTAAATATTTTTCTTTGAATTGTAGTATAACGATGTTTTTCTGTTTTCTTTAATTCACAGAGTGTCGTAAAAGTTTGACTGCGGCTACACAAAGAAAATTTTAACCATGCTGATTATGATCAAATAAATGGAAAAAATATGTTAATAAATAAGTAAGAAATAGTAACATCAAAGACAGCCAGCCATTAAAAGTTGATACAACTTGAGTGAATCTTGAATAAAATCAAAGTAAAACAAAACGAGAAACAGAAAAAAATTGTATATACAATATATATATATGTGTATGTAGAGGATGACATATGTATGTACGTATATATGTATGTATATCGGTATGTGTTCGATCAAATTAGTGTTTCTGTGCTGTGCCAATCTCTCCTCAACTAAATAAGTTCCTGTGGCCTTATTCAATAAATAGACTCATCAAGAATTTTATTAAACACAAAATTAAAACGCTTTAAAACGTAACAAGTGTAAAAGTGAGTGTATTTGTGTATGAAATAATTTAAAGAAATTCATAAAATATAAATAGAAGCAGCAAAACCAGTGTATCAAAAATTAATAATACAATAAGTGAAAAAGCACATGTGAAAAAAGAAAATCTAAAAACTTAAATCAATAAAGAAAATCAGCCGCTACGTACTATATATTATATTTAGCTTATCAGCACATCAAAACAAAAAAAAGAACACTAAAACCCGAAAAACGTGCATTCGCAGAGCGAACAAAATTAAAAATAAAAAAAAATAAAACGAAAACATCGAAGTGTCATAAACATCACTATTTTTACAAATATATATATGTACATACATATGTATGTACATACAAACATTTATAAATATATCAAGCCAAAACATATGTATACCAATAGTTTGGTGCAGCGTTTTAATTCCTCTTCGTCACGTACAGTAGTACCCAGTCGATAAAAACTCTGATTGCAGAGTGCTGTGAAAGAGTAATTTTGGTAAGTTTATTGCAAATTCCTTAGAAAAACCAAAGTCTAGTACTCAAGACGAAATTGTTTCAAGTGTGATAAACTTTCAAGTTAGAAACTCTCAATAGATAAAAGCAGTTTAGTTGCAAACAGTTTGGATAAAGATGTGATCTACAAATGGCAAAATTGTTCAGATATATCCACATATAGACAGAATGTAAATTTGTATTATTCTTAAAATTTAAAGCTTTAATGCAGTTTTCAATGTGTGACCAATTATGGTACCTACCACGGAGAAGATTGTAGTGAAGCGATCATTTTTGGAAATATCATTCTATTTACTACACATTGAGTGGTGAGAATTAATGAGAAGTGAGCGGACTGTATTTTTTATGACTTTAAACTTTCCTCTTTTATATCAACGATAAATTTCAACTACAAACATACATACATTCCTACCTCAGTTTATTATTCTTCATTCGCTTTTGCTTTCTTGTTTGTTTATGAAAAACAACAGTATCAGCTGATGTATTATGTAAACATCCAAGAGGTAGGTCAATTTGTGTTACAGTCAAATGCACACATGTGTATGTATCTATATGTATGGATATGAACGCATATGGTACTCATTAATATATATTAAAGGTACAAATATACATATACATACATATATAGTATGTGAATATGTGTATAAGAGATGCATTTGAACTTATTTTCGATATTCGGCTTATTTATTTGTATTCATGTATACCATGGTTTTGGCCGGTTGTTCCATCCAAGCGATATCCACTTCTTCATTGGTTTGACCTTCGTATATGGATGTATAAATACGTCGTTGTGAGCACCCTCCAAGCATATATTATATGTACATACGAAAGAATAATCCACAATGCTCAGAGAGCATTCCGAAATCAATTATTTGTATGTAAAATAAAATTGTGTAGTTCAGTTAATATTAGAGCAGCAGGATAGGCTACCTAACGACGACACATACAAAAAGTGCAGGGAAGTAGGCATGAGAGAGACCGTGGAGCACCTTGGAAACTCTACTCTGCATAACTACCTTGTCTAATAAGGAGAATAATACATTAAAATGGAAACGTGTGAAAAACTTGATTTTATTTATAGCATTGTACATGCATATAAAAATCTCTCCGAGAGCACAAATTTCCTTTGCATTAATAAGCTGAGTACCGCCTGTACAGTATGAGGAAGGAGAAGGATTTGCTGAAAGAGATATGCCAGCAATTTGAATATTTAAATGTTGTTGGTTTTTAGTACACCAGAAAGCAACATTACTAAGACCTGAACGAAGCAGACTCATAGTGATTAGAAACATTTTTCAATACGAGTATTAGTAATTACTAAATAAGTAACATATAATATAAGTTACATGTCGATAAAAGGCATTTTAATAACATCTACTGACGGATTGTGATGTGTTGGTAATATTTTATCATGGGTGGAAAAGTTGGATAGACTAGAATCAGATTCTTGAAAGCGGAGAGGCAAACCCTAGATAAACGCGGGATTTATAATGGTAGATCCACCTGTGAGGTGCTATCTTTCTTTGAACAAGTCGCTGAAATTGAGGATAACGATATACATATATACATACATATGTATGTATTTATGTACCTCTGTTTTTGGTGGAGGTCTTATATACCTATTATTTATGCGTCTGCTACACTTGGTCATTGTATTTCACCAATTGCACACATTTGCATGGTACGTATGTCAATATATTCCTGACTACATACATAGATCAGAGACCTATGTACATGTACATACATACATATATGGTACATGCGTTTGTTTTGATTGCATGGTGCCTGAATTAGCCGGCAACCAATTTCCGCGAATGCATATCGCATCAAAAACAGCAACTGTTGCTGTTGTCAAGCGCAGTTGCTCATTTATTTCTCTTAGTATTTGTGCCAGAACAATAGATCTGTTTATTGCAAAATATACTCGTATCCATGCACTTGTTGCTAAGCGCTTTAGAGCGGCTGCTATAATTTCTCCCAGTTGCTAATGCTGTGGTATACTAAATTAGGGGATACAAGTATTTACACGTCAGTTAGATATCTCATTCTATCTATTCTTTAAATCGTTATTATTATATTCAGTTATACATGTACATAAATTTGCATATGTTTTTGTGAATTTGGTAATATTTATAACGGAGCTCATCTTGAAACATTCTTGGCTTTCTCATCTAGTAAAAACTTTTAATAATTTTAGATTGTTCCTCGAACAATCGGACCGATTTCTGACCGAGTTTAATTCACAAACTTAATGCTTTATTCTCTGTTTTGTCAAGTATCTTTACCCATTTAAGGGGTGTGATTATCGGCTGAAATATTTAGAAATTCAGGATCTGCAACAGTGTATGGCGATTCGACATTTTTTATTCTCGCAACATGCTGCACAGATTTGTGCACCTAACGGTTGTTCAAGCCAACTAAAAATGGTCGACATAGATGAAGGGGTTTGCTTATGAAAATGATTAGGATGACTTGTTTGTCTTTGGCAATGAACGACCGCAGCTGGACCCTACACAGGTGCATTTTGTATAGTACAAAAGTTTATACCCTATCTTTATATTGATTTTGATTTGTGAATGGCAGCTATATGTTATATTAATCTGATCTGAACAATATTGTACTGTGTTCATGAAGGAAAACTTTGTAAAAGCGTCTGATAATTTTTACTCGTATATACTTATACTTTATAGGATATCTGAACTTTTCGTTTGGGTGTTACAAACATCGTGGCAAACTTAATAAATCCTGTTCAGGGTATAATAAATTGTACATGCATACACCCATATGTAGGTGAGTAAAGGACTCCCCGCTTATTCAAGTAGAAGGACCTTTTAATAACATTGTTGCACTGTGCACTTTTTTATAACACAAATATACAAGACAAAGAACAACAAGTATTCAAAGGAAGTTGAATGAACTTGTTGAACTGATTTTGTCGATATGACCTAGAGTTAAGCGTATGTATATACGTGTGTGGACGTATGTATTCACTAGCATGTACAACTTATTTATGGACCTTTCCGAGTGCCCGTGCATCTGTTGCCATTAATTACTGGCTATGTAGCACTGCATGGAAACAGCTGGTCTGGTGAAATTGTTACTAAACAAATTAACAACAAATGAAGAAATAGTTCGTTTGCTTTTCAGGTTATAAAATATTATTACCTTTTATATGAAACATTTACCAGTCGATCGGGTTTGTCCGAATATCATCTTCTGTCTGTTGCAATAATTATTCGTAAATGGATTCATCTTGGATTCTGGTGGTTTCAAAACAAAATTGAAAGTACATTGTACCATATATCTAAAAAGAGAAAGATGACAGTTTAAACTAATACCTGTAAAATTACAGTAAATTGATGCACAGTTCCATTAATCGGTTCACAAATCGTTTGCAGATAGATAGAGAGAAGAAGAATCTTTCTAATCTTTAGGTGCATTTAGCTCATCTTGTTTTTTATATTTTGCGGTAGTATGAGTATTTATTTGTTCGTATATATAGCCCGTCGTTACGCGATTTACTTTTATCGATTTTGCAAATAGCAGTGTATAAACCCCATTGTACAAGTATTCCACTCTGCGAGCCTAATGTAATTTTGTTTTTATTATTAACTTCAAATTATTATTACAAAGCGCTTTACAGAGTCAACTCACGTTCTTGATGTCTTTTCGTTCTTTAACGCACAGGCATCAGTTCAAAGGTATAATAACATTATTCTCGAATGATATTTCTGCATATAACATAATTGTCAGATATTTAAATGTACATGTGTAACCAACAAATGCGCTATCGCCTGCAGATCATATTAGATTACTGTAATACAGAGACTACTGAATATTCATGAATTTGTTGTGGAATTCTTGTGTTGGCACTGTACATTTGTTGGCTGCCAATAGTTTGCAATTAAGTGTGAATATTCTTTTGTTGATTGATTAGGTATGCACGTACTCATATATATGTATCGAAAGTTTGCAAACCGATAACAGAATAAGCAAAGAAACTATAAAGGAACCATCAACTTGCATAAGTTGAAATAAGTGCCAAATAGATGCCAGACATTTGTTGTTCAAATTCGCTCTTTATGATGAGGAAATTAGCTAATCAAAGTTTCATGCTATCAGGAATGTAAATTAACAATAATAACATTGAAAATGAATGCGTCAAATTGCAGAAATAATTAACAACCTAGTGGTGAGTAAATATATTTTAACAAAACGCGCGAATTAACAGTTTTGTATTTTTAGAAAAGGAAAATTATCTTTTCGGTTAAATACCTTTTCTTTATTTCTGCAGAATCTGTTGCAATATCGAACAGAATACCAAGATTATCCTCAGCAGCCAACTAAATCTTAGATGCGCCAATTATTTTTATAACACTAACTTAATTTAAATAGTTCATATGATAATAACGCTATAAGTTATATCCGTTCTTACTTCAAATAGCTTTACAAGTATACATATACATACATTTATGTAATATAAGCAAGTGACACAAAAGTTATCGTCAACCTTACCCGTGCATCTATATACATAGATATATATATACATATGTATTATATATGAAAGAGAAAGCTTGTATGTAAGTATATTATAAAATAATATAAATATAAACTTTACAGGAGAGTTTGGTGGGGATAATTTTTTTTTTTTTTAATGTCAATGACATTTTTTAACGCTGATATGCTAATGTTTTTATTACACAATTTTGTTGACACGTGCGTCGTGTATATTTATGTCATTTAGCTATGTAAATATAACATATTGAAGTATAAAAAATATAGCCATGGTAATTTAACTAAAATTACCGCGAAGAGTGAGCCATTACTAGCAAATGAAGAAAATACTATTTACAATCGGATTAGACTAATTGTTACTCGGAACAGTAAAATAGAACTGCAACCAAATACAAAGTGCCCCAAACTGCTTGAAAGTTTCAGCACTATTGTACACGGAAAAAAATAATTAATTGACAGTATTTTCCCAGACACAAAATAATTATTTAAACTATAACTGGCTCGGTAATCGGGCTATATTTACAGCAAAAAATGCCGAAATTGATTTCGATAATAATATTTTACTATACTAAACAGTTACTCAAATATAATTTAATTATAACTTAGCCACAACAAGTCGTGGCCGGGGTCTTCTAACATAATAGTATATGGTATGTATGTTGGTATTATTAATATTAGGTATTTATGTTTGCATGCCCCCAACTAAGAGATACAGATAAGCGAATGGTGTGTCAATGTGGTCGTAATTTTTATTCACTGTCAAGTTGAACAGTGTGAATGGAAAATTTTCGTATTTATTTTGACTCTCTGCTTTGGCATTAGAAATGCGTTGGCGCATTTTGCGCTGATCGCGTGGAGACAAGTAATAAGAATAATACAAAAATTTACAACATACATACGTATGTATGTATATACACCGTTGTGAAACATCAAACTTGTCAAAAAATTCCAATTACCAAATAGAATTTTGGAACTAAAATCGAACTAGTCTTCTTACTGATATTAAATTCATATTAATTCCAGAAAAGTTATTTGGCTATAGGTTATTTCGCGTTTTTTTTAAAAAAAATGTATGACGAAAATATAGGTTAAATTGAATTTATTGATATTATACTTTATATGTTTTGAAGTAGTGTGAAATATGTATAACAATTTATTATGTATACATAATTGATTAAAATGTGACAGTTGAAATTTCATAATACTTCAGCGCGTACAAACATTACAGACGGTGGACTAGTTAGTCTTCCGGTTGATCCTAGTTGTAAAGTAGTTTATAACCAGTTGCTTTTAGTGCAGAGTGCATGCATACATGCATTTACTTAGGCGTTGTTGGCAGAGAGACTGGCGATTAGAAATAACAAATAATTGTATCGCATGTGTATATATGTATGTATATATGTTTGCATGAATACTGAGGCTTCATTCGAATACAAACTATTCTGTTGTTTTGCAACTCGCATATAAATTATGTACATAAAGAAATATGTTGATAGTCAAAACTGGAGTAAAATATTGATACAGTAAATGAAAAGCATAGACAAGTAAGGTAGCTCTAAGTTCGGGTGTAACCGAACATTTCATACTCTTGCAACTTGCATGGATCAAATACGACTAAATACCTTCAGATGTTGGCAATATTAAAAAATTTAGCGAAAGGGTTCAACTTAATGGTTCGACGATAGCGTGTATGGATTACAATCAACTTTAGTATCATGTTAACTTATTTTGAATGTCATAGGTATAAAGTCAACTGGAAATTCGAAAATCTTTATATTAGGTATATAGGGGCCAAGGGAAGTATTGATTCGAATCAATCCATTTTTACACAAGGGTATTTTATTGTAAAAAAAACATTTTCTCCGAATTTCAATAATACATATATCTCACAGACATACGCACTGGTGTACACATGTATGATTTTATCTCTTTTTTATTGATTTATCGTATCTTTTAGTAGTTTTTAACAAAACCGTTATATGGAAGAGGGCGGAGTTATAGGGGGGGGGGGGTCAGTAGTAATAACGTTTTGCGGGTCCATTCATTTCAAATTCAAAGATACAGCTTGTACGGACGTACAGACACTCTTGCGATTTCTACTCGTCTCGTTATCCTGATTATTTATGTAGCAGTTTTGACAATGATTTCAATAATTTTTCACGCTCAATATTTGTACGTAGCGTCCTATTATTTCAAATGCAATATGTTTAGTTACATGCAAAAATACCCACATACATACATATGTACATAAATATTGAATATGCATCGGTATGTATGCATCACCGAAAAATATCACGTGTTTCGCCTTTAACGTGTACCCAGCTAAGAATGTCATACAATTAAAAAGTAAGGTAAAAATAGTGTGAATGTCTCAAAGATTGTAAGTGTGGAAATGTGTTGCTTAAATTAAATGTTCACACACGATCAGTCACCAAAAAAAGGAAGAAGTAAAGAATTCGAACAGATGTGCATTTAAAATAGTCAGCAATGCAAGAAATGCACACAAATAAATATCGTTTATTTTAACAAGCTGCAGAAGCAGATTTCTCTTGGCAAAAAAGTTTATAAAATAAATTATTGAAGTGAAATAAAATGATCAAACACAATAAAAATAATATATTTTCGAGAAATAAATAATAAAGAAATTAATTTCGAATAGCTGCCAATATCTCACCACGCCATGCATGACATACTCGCTCATTTCCCCACTACACATTCGATACCCTAGAGGCTTTTCGCCAAAACACCAAAACACCAACTGTTGCAGTCTTCGTGCCAAATGTGCCTGTTGTTGACGCATACTTTGGCAACAACAAGCTATTCGCATGCCATGCGTTGCATTCCGCGCACCTGAGTTGCGTGACATACCAATCAATCGGTTCCGATTGCATCATCCCAATGCATGGCACGCAGTGTGCTGAACTGTCGCTCACTCGATTCTAAGTGTGCTGACATATCAGTACATAGCTGTAGATGGAAAGCTGAGTTTTAATAATTTGCTAGAACTTGAGATAGAAGCCTATGTTTTCCCGTCAGGTGGCCTAGGTGTGAATCATTTCGAAAATATATGGCCTAATATTTCTCATATCTTCCTCGCCGATGAAAAATCTAAATATATAGAAGAGGTTTTTAAAAATTGTTATCCCTCTAAGCAGTCAATGTCATCCCTCGATGTGGTGCGAAATTAAGACTTTTTTGCGCTTTAATCTAAATATTTAAGCAGCATGCAGGTTTCGGGTCGTAGCTGCCTCTTTTCTAGCTCTTAGTTCGAATTAAACTTTTGGTCGTTAATCCCAAGTAGTGTTTCTTCATATCTTAAGTAATCATATACTAATATTTTACGATTTTTTGTTTGTTGTTATTTAATTTGTATATGAAATTCGATTCATGTTAAATCAATGCATTTCATTTAGAAGAATTAATAATTGCAAAGTAAAATTTCAAAGAAAGCGCCTAAAAAGATATTTGCGACAAATTCATAAAAGTGCATTGACACCAGTGATACCTCACTGCAGCGCATGAGTTTACTATATTTTGTATGAGAGTGAGCTGTGCACTACCTCTTCCTCTGCATCTGCTACATTGTGCGAAAAACCAATTTAATTTTGTAATTTGTCTGGTTCAATAATAAATTTTTTCAATAACGATTGAAAATAAAATTCTTGAGTAAACAATGTTGAATGGGGGAATTATGTTTCTTAAAGTGATGCCACCCATAAATCAATTTGTTGCACTCGTATTTCATAATTATTGCAACAGCCCGGGCTGTCAGGAGCAGACATACATATGATGTTATGGGAAATGCATATAAATCCAAGGCCAAGAGTTGGCTGTTTGAAATATTTTGCTTTCTGATAAAAAAGTCATTGTTATTATACCCAAGCAAGCTCTTTTAACTGTCAAAAATAGTATTTATCATATTTATAGTATAAGCATACCGTTACTTTTATATAACACTTTCACCATCATTTACTTTTCATTACAGAATATATCGGAGAAAAAAAAAACTTTTGAAAGAAGCAATTCAAATTCTGCGCAAATAACCGTTGGAAATCAACAGTTGACTAAATATATATATTTAACGGTTAGCTTTCCGTATTGTGAGCAAAATCTTATTCCTCGGCAACTAACGTTGGGTGCCCACAGGAAACTTGCAGTCATATATTTGACATTTTCTGTACAATTTGACAATTTGTCGCAGCAAACGCCGCGCTTCCATCCATCACGTTGTTGCATATACAAATGAGTAGCAAAAACAAAAACAAAACCATTACAGTTAAGACATTACCACAATACAAAGAACAACTGCAGCAATTACAACAACGCATCGAAGAGTTGAGCTTCATCAATATACGTCGTGCAATCTTCACCTTCAAACGCCTCAATCACAACCCAGACAGCAACAGCCGCGGTGGCATTACAATAGGCATAAGACGGAAAAACTTAACAAGCTTCATAAACGCAACAACTGCAGCGATAGCAACATTGTATGACAGTAAACGGTGCCAACAACACTAACTAAACCAGAAACACCAGCAAAACAGCTGAGTTAAAAGAGTTAACACTTCGAACAGAGCCGAGCGAAACAACCGGCAGTAGCTAAATTGCAGTTGACAGCTGCAGCAGAGCAAAGCAAAGAGAAATCGGTCCAACAGTGCAACAGGGTAGCGGAGCAAGGTGATTGAAAACAAACTAGTTTGACGATTTGCAAATCAGCGACGCGTAGTGACGATTGTTACCAAATTCTCAACTAACTTAGAAGAGGAGGAGGGGAAGATCAGATGAAAGACGGTGAAAAAGTGCCAAAGAAAAGAATTCAAACAAGGTGAAGGTGGGAAAATCTGTAAAAAAATATAATTGAATACAAAAAGAATGTGCAAAAAGAGGATATAATTCAACAGCTAGAAAAAGAGATAAATGTGCAACGAAACTCCGTTTCTACTAGTTTACCGTAGCGAGCCCAACCGTGTAAGGTAAATAAGCTATTGTAACGGTTGATTGCAATCGAACGAGCATACATAACTACAATAAAAGTGGGCAAATAGAGCAACACGTGTGATACGAATTGCTTGTGATCGGGCAGGCCAGTTCGTAAATCACAACGAAGTTAAAAATACAAATTCATCAATAATCTGTCAAAGATAATAATTAATAAAAAATAATAAATAATTAATAAAAAATAATTCATGCAAAAGCATAAAAGTCGCGCCCTATTTGACTCTAATAGCGAAGTTACGGTCCCTCGTTGCAACAGCATTTCAAGTCTACAGCAAAGGCAACTAAACTAAGGTTACAGAATAAGCCAAAGTTGAACAAGCGGCTAAATCTAATTGCGCGTGAACACAGAAATAATAAACAAACAAAAAGTTTATATATCCAAAAAAGAATTCTCCAAACCCACTCTTTCGTGACAACACGCTACAGCAGCGTGCGCAACATAGTACAACAAGGTTCGTCCGACCTGGCCTTCGTTACGGCGTGCAGCTGTTCAGATCAGCAGTTTAAGAGTTGCTCCACCTGAACCTGATTCGCCGCCATTCGTAGCAAGTTGTTGTGTATGTTGAATTTGTGCGTGTGAAGATTGACTGCTGACTGCAATACAATCGCACGTGTCTCCATTAAAGCCTTTGTTTTGATAACTGAACGATCTCGTTTGCCACTTCGCACCTTCTCAATGTTCGAGTTCTGTGCAGATATGGGACAAATTGGCCAAGATGTAAGTAAATCCATGAATACTACATATAATCTATCTTTTTGTAAATGAATGAACAAACCTTAGCGTTAGCTAATCTTATGTATATAGGCAAGCTTTTATTTATTTGTTGTTTAGCTATTCGAAGTCACTTTTATTTTACTTAGACATTATTTGGATATAAATGGCTTTGCAAGTGAAATTGAATTTTAAGGCATCCATTCTTGAAAGAAGCGATTTCAATGAATTTAGATCACGAATCCTCTGGATAACAAGTAATTCAATCTAATCTCTAATTTTTCTTTTAAAAGTTTTAAATACCTATTGTCTGTTGTTCAGTAAAAAAATAATTTTCATTGACCTATATACAACATATGCACTTATATATAGGTAATATGTATTCTCATTAGGGTTAATGCATACATACTCTATTTTATACTCTTGCAACATGTTGCTATAGTGTATAATAGTTTTTGTTCACCTAACGGTTGTTTGTAACACCTAAAACTAATCGAAATAGATGTATATCTCAGGAACTACCCAAAATTGGTGCATTATATTACTCCATCGTTCTTATGCTGAAGTGTGAAAATGGGCGAAATTAAAATATTGGTAAATCTGTGAAATCTAGAATTGAAATTCAGAGAGCATCTAAGTATGATAAAAGTAGATCCTTATGTTAAAAATGGGTAAAATGGGGTCAATACTTCCCCTAGCACCCATATACAACATGTTGCTACAGAGTATAATAGTTTTGTTCACCTAAAGTTTTTATCACATAAAAATAAAGGAGCTAGATATAGGGTTATATATATATATATATATATATAAATGATCAGGATGACGAAACGCGTTGAAATCCGGGTGACTGTCTGTCCTTCAGTCCGACCGTCCATCTGTTAGTCTCTGAAAGCTGTAACTTGAGTAAAAATTAAGATATCGCAATGAAACTTGGTACACGTGTTCTTTGGTAAAAAAAAGTGAGGACGAGTTCATAGATGGGCGTATAACTGTAATTTGGCCCAAGAGATCCAAAGCAAGAGGCACTTGTGGGCTAAAAATTTGAAAAAATGGGCGTGGCCCCGCTCTCTAGGAGATTTGTTGTACATATCTTCTAAACCATACACATAGCTATAATAACCAAATTCGCTCAGTATAAATCGTTTAGGCACCACCACTGATACTGTAAAATAGATGAAATCGGATGATAACCCCCCTCACTCCACATATAACGGTACTGTTAAAAACTACTCAAATCGCGGTAAATCTATAAATAAATACGCCAGAGACATGAAATTTTACATCCGAGATGGAGCTGGGGAAAAATGGGTTAAATTGGATCAATAACTCCTTAGTCCACATATACCTAATAAAATAAAATTCGAATTTCCGGCTAACTTTATACTGTAAATATCCTTCAATAAGCAATTTATCTGATTGAAATTAAAAGAGCATGTTTTTCTTACAACAATCTATCTTTGTGTATAAAATGGATAAAATGATATTACCACATACAAGTACAATGATTTTCGTCATTCTAACATAGCCAATGCTCAATATGTCGGTTAGTGTGTGAGTTATATATTTATAAAATCCTTGAAAGCTGCAAGATTATTAAATGTTCGGTTACACCCGAACTTATCCCTTCCTTACTTGTTGTGATTTAATTAGTATTATAATAGATTTAAAAAGCACGTAACATCTGCTTATTGCTACGTGCTTTTTAATTTTTTTTGGATTTTTTCTTTTATTAAAATTTTTACGCACAAAAGGCTGGATTTGGATTGCTTTATTGTTTAATTTTCTTGGATTTCACTTTAATGTTCTTTGGTATGCTTTTTTACTTACTTATGTGTATATATTTCATCTTTCAACAATTATACGAGCAACGTACAAATCGAGGTCTATCGGTAGGGTTTCTTATCTTATCTCGACTTATATTTCTGTCCAGAGTCCGAGTTTAATGGCTCCAATAATTGTAATCAATTAAGTTTTTCTTTTGTTTCGTTTGTATTAAATACCCTAAGTGTTTTATTGATATCTTATTGTTTTTACGTGCAATTCAAAAAATCACATACTTCGCAAGTCGGAAATGCATATTTTGTTTTTTACAAATAAATGTTTAATAACAAGTAAGGAAGGGCTAAGTTCGGGTGTAACCAACTTTCAAGGATCAGATCAAAGCAAATACCCTAAGGTTTTAGGAAAAATTTATATTAAAAAATGTTGCGAAACAATTTAACATTCATTATTCGACGAAATCGTAAATGGATTACAATCAAATTTAGTATTTTATTAAGTTATATTCTAGGTCACAGATTCACTTAGTTTTATTACTATGTTTAATTTCCCATCAGCTAAAATTTTATTAAAATTATCTTCTAATGAGATATATAATATATAAACTCAATTGAATTGATTGAGTTGTTCTGAAAACGTCAATCAGAGCGATCACAATTGATTATTATAACGATATAAGGTTTGGACTAAAGTTCAGACCAATTTCTTTCATATTCACACACAATTTTTAAGAAAACTTATTTATTTAATAATAATAAAAATTAAAGTATCACACAGTTTGTCAGGTGGAAAATCGGAAATTATTATACAGGATATATTGGGGACACAGAAAGGGATGGGCTAATTGAGTTAATTTTGACATTGTTGGGGTATACTTGAGAGCATATTTTCACGCAATTTTATAAATGTATAACAGATTGAACGACATGTTCGGCATAAGGTTTGTTAGAATAACGAATAATCAATATATGTAGTATTTGGGAGTTGGGGTGATTCGTAGACTAAATTTGCATATTTTAGGCATTAAACTATAGTATATCCAATATATAATAAGTTCAGTTAATTTTGCTAAGATATATTACATGTTGACTGATATATAAGCATGGCATACGGTCAATCGGAAGTTTGAAAATCTTATATTAGGTATATGAGAGATAGGGGTATTGACCCAATTTTATCTATTTGTGGCAATACAACACACTATTATACAGAATAAAACGCTCCATGAGTTTCATTAAGGTACCTCACGTATTATTTCCATACATATACCATACGTATTTGTTGGTGGTATAATCGGGAGAATATTCACGATTTTGAAATGTCTGGCTGACTTTACTCCATATATATGTTTATTTTTATATATTTAGAAAATTGCTTAAAAATAAGTTCTCAAGTATACCTGAACAATGTTAAAAAATAATGCAATCAGCCCTTCCATTTATCTGCCCTAAATATGCCTTGTTTAGTTAATTCCGACTTTCTGTCTGACTTTTAACCGTTTATTTAATTAAAAGTTATATAATTATATTAATGGTTTGGCGCTCAATATAAATGAATTGGTCTTGGTCTTAACCTCATATCTCTAATAAAATGAATCCCGATCCTTTGGTTGACGTTTTTCACATCAACCCAATATACAAGTACTTAATTTAGCCTCTTCGGTTGAGTTTATGTTACATATATCTCATACGAGGAGAATTTTAGCATAATTTTCGATGACGGGAAGTAAAATATAGAAATAAAACTAAGGGAGTCTATGACCTTCACAATAAGTTAACATGATACTAAATTTGATTGTAATCCCTTCACGCTTTCGTCGAACAATGAAGTTAAACCCTTTCGCAAAATTTTTTAATATTGCCATCATCTGAAGGTATTTAGTCGTATTTGATCCATGCAAGTTGCAAGAGTATAAAATGTTCCTTCTTTACTTGTTAGTTTTAGACAATGACCTAACATAATGTGCGGCCTCCCGAGATTACAAATAGAAGATAAATATAAGAGTATTTGGCTTTCTTTCTTTTTGGAAGTGATATATCATATTTAACATCCTTATAGGGTTCGCAGGGTTTTATTGGTGACAGGGTTGCTGAAACTGATTAAAATTATCAAAAATCTGAAAAGATAATTTTTACGTTCAAAGGTTTATTAAAATAATCATAATGGTTTTCCTTAGGGGGCAAATATATTCAAGTAGACTTAAAATAAAATGTTTTTGCATACAAAATGTATTACTATTTTATAGGATTGTTCGTGCACTTGTGCTACAAAGTGAAGATAGTGCTCATCTAGCTAATTCTAAATGCTCAATAAGTTCGTAAAACCAAAAATGCATTAACATTTTTCTTCTTTAATGTAAATAATGTGGCGGAAAACACTTTTACTGCCCGCCAGGCGCCAGTTGCGAGCTTAGGCGCGAGCCCCAGCAACCAATTTCCGACTCCGCCATTGCCTCCCCCATATTCTGATTAGAAATGCAAGACCTAGTCCGAATACTGAAAACTGAAAAAATGACCTACGTCAAGCGTATTTTTAGTGACGCGCCGTTAATTACATGCCGCTAACCGCAATCGTTATTTGCGTGGCTAAAATATGTGCCGTTGTTGATATGCTCGTACATATGCATACCATAAATATTTTTTATTGCTGCAGTAACATGTACTTTTTAAAGTTTCTTTGCATTAAGACCGTCGTACCTACTTATGTTCTTATGCATCGAAGTGTAAGCACGAATGCATTCTAGATGTGGGCAGTGCGAATCCACTTCGCAAACACACGCATATCACTTATAACGTACGACCTTGGTACACCAGACGGATTATTATAAGCATGCAAATAAATTTGTATACCTATATACATATACCCACGTCTGTACAGAACTCTGCTGATACTTTATTATACTCTTGCAACATGTTGCTACAGAGTATAATTTGGTAGTTTTGCTCACCTAACGGTTGTTTGTATCACCTAAAAATAAACGACCTGGATATGGGGTTATGTATATGTAAATGATCAGGAGGATGAGACGGGTTGAACTCCGAGTGACTGTCTATCCGTCCGTCCGTCCGTCTGTCCGTGCAAGCGATAACTTGAGATATCTTGATGAAACTTGGTGCACATCTTCTTTTGGCCCCCAAGGGATTGCAGATGAGCAGAACCTATAAAGTGCCATAACTAAGCCGCAGATACAAAATTGTAATTTAGTCCAGAAGATCGCACTAGTC